GTTTTCCCTTCAAGCCACCTACAGGAGCATAGTGTACCCGCTTCTGGACTCAGCATATCGTGTCACCTCGGCAGAAATATCAATGCCGGCATATAGTAGTAGGGAAGCATTCCAGTACATGTACCCGTTTAATATCCGAACGACCACCAATGGGATCAATTGGTAACTCTGGGAAGCCTGGGGCAGAGAAGTATGTAACCGCATGTCACTCTCTTGAGTATGCGGGGGAAACGCCACCAGCCCTATTCCTCGGTATGGAAATTCAGGGGCAGCCGTGTGGGAGCAATGAGCTGACTAAGCCGTATTCTGCCGCCCGTCGCCGCCTTCACTCCTCCTCAACCTTGCATCTCCAGACTCCAGTCCAGTCCGACTCAATTTCCGGCATCCCCTGCTGTGGACACCGCCGTTGGCGCCGTTGCTGGCCCGTTCCTGGTCTTCGCCGCTGGATCACACCCCGTCACGCTCGTGGTGGAGCCTCTTCACGCAGAAAACTCTAGACGGCCCAGCACACTGGTTAGAATGGCGATTGAGAAGATCCTCCAAAGGCGCGTCCTGGCCCCCCCGCCAGCAGACAGCCCCTTGAACCAGCCTCGTTCCGGCAGGCCAATTGAAGATTGGCTTCGGACCAGGCCCATCCCAATCTTGGCGGCCCTGGCGGCCGCCTATCACCAACCTGGCTGGAGTTCAACGCGCCCAAAATCGGGGCTTTCTCTCCAAGAGCTCGAGCCAGGCTTCGTTTCCTGCCGCCAATCCTCTGCTGGAATTCGTGATGCCTGCATTGCCAGAATGAAGTTCCAAGGTTTGGCTGTTCCCTGAAAGTTGAAACCAGTCCCTTTCTTTTTTGTTTTCGTACGCTCGTTTCGCGGTCAGTCATTATTATTGTTTTTTTCTTCTTAATTCTTAAGTTAATTTTTACTTTCGTATTTTCTTTTTCTGGTCTTTATTCCCTAATCTTTTCGATTTTTTTCCCTGGCAATTCTTTGCTTCGATTTTCCAGTTTTCAGGATAATTTTTCAAGAACAACAGAGGTCAACCTAGCTTTCACGGCCAATCATTGCATTCCGGCGTGCAGCAGGTTTCTCTCCAATCGCAATACATTTACCTTGTGCACCTCTTAACCCCCCCTTAAACGGCCAGATAATGAACTCGTTGGCGATATCCCCCTTTGGTTGGTGCCATTGACTACATATCGCATCTTCCGCCCTCAATTGAGAGAAAATGGCGGGCCTGAGAAAGCTGTTCAATGTTGAGAGAACATTATTCCAATCGACGAGCCCTGAACCGACTGAGAACAACTCCGGTGGCCCGTCGAGCTACGAGATTTCACCGTGTCGTGATTTACCCAGTGCATCGCCCGACGCAAACCTCCCTCGCCTACCGCAAATGCAAAACCAGACCTTCCTAGGCATTGAGAGGCAATTCGAAGACCTACATGACCAGTTCCGCGCCCGCTCCTCTCCTCCCGCGCAGTACCAGCAGTTCAACAGTAGCCCCGACTCGAAGCCCTCGCCCTTCCGCAACCGCCGCCACGTTGACGTGATAGAAGCCACCTTCCCCTCCCAACGCGCCCGCGCTCCCACGCCTATATCTCCCCCCGCCATGTACAATGAGGAAATTGCCGATCGCAACATTCAGGGCAAACGGTCTGATAAGGGAGGCCCACGATACGCTAGTGTTATATCCGCAGTATATCAGGAAGATGTCGCAGACCGCAATATATTGCTTGGTGGTGGAAGGGTACATGCGGCTCTCGCGGGCACTGAAGCCACATCACAGTCGGGCCCGAATAATGGCAGATCAGTGTCGTCCCTTTCCTACTACCGAGAAGGCAGGCCACGACTGTTCTCAAAGTCAAATGGGACGGGGCGTACGACACCGTCGGACACCGAGAAAGCCGCATTGAGAGTTATTTCTTCAGACCAGGATCTCCGCAGTCATCCCCCGTCCCTTAGGCCGGACGCTACCCAGAGCAGTCCATCACGTCGGATAGGAGTCAGGCAATATATTGCTTTGCGGTTAAGAAATTCTGCTCCCACATTGTCTGCGGGTGGACCAGAAACTAGTACTCCAAAACACGTACCACGGCCTCCAATTGAAGCTTCGAAACATCCCGCCTATCCCTCTCCTCCTACAACCTCTCATCTGGTGCGGGAGACGAGAAAACTTCCAAGAGCGGAGCCAGAACCAGTCAACTCGTTGACTCCGCTGGATATTAAACCAAAACCGACTTCTCAAAACAAAGCTCCTGCTGCTAAAGTCCCCGCCGTCGAGGATGGATCTAACCAACTATTATCTCCCGCCTCTGCTCGGCTGTGCGCAAGAAAAAACGTTCGCGACCTTTCTATCAACACCAAACTAGCCGCTCCCAACAAAAGCTTCGTGAAAGTAAAAAGCCAAACCCTTGATGTTCCAGTGCGGACACCAAGACGGGAACCGAATGCAAGCATTGCAGAAATCGTAAACAGTCCACTTCCAGTCGCAACCCCGTCTGCGATATCCCCGCGGACCCCAAGCTACAACGTTGACGAAATTATGAGCATGTTTAAGCAAGCGTATATATCCTCACAGGCGGCGAGCCCAAATCCCACCTTCGAAACGTTGCAGGATGCTATCGTCCGCGAAATCAATTCTCACGACGCTTTTCGACAGGTTGCTTCCGATATTGAAACGATGCCTTCCCCCAATCCCTGTCCTCTTCCAGTCACTTCGGAACGTACCGAGGAGTTTCGCGGACATATGAGGAAGAAATCTTCTATAAAGAGCCTTTCAGGTAAGGATTTACAGGCGCTAAAGTTCACTCGGAAGCCCTCGTTCAAGAGGAAAAGACGAAATTCTTATACACCAGGGAAAGAAATGTCGTTTCCCGCTATTAAGGGTATGGAGGCGATGGCAACAGAGCCTAGCCCCCAAGAACGGAAGAGAAGGCATACCTATACACAGCCCGTGCCGTCATGCGCTCCAGACGCCCCTGAACTTCCGTTGCCATTAAGAGAAGAGGCTAAGAAGGTTAATCTGGGGACGTCCGGAGAGGTACCACCAGTCAAATACTCCTACAGATTAATTCCCGACGTCCGCCCAAAATCTTCCCATAGTCTAGGTTCGAAGGGCGCTCCTCCCAGACCGACGACTTCCTGTTCCTTGAAACTATCGGGACATTCTCGCAAAGACCCCAAATCGGACACGAGACAAAGATCCAGCTCCCGAAGGAATACTACCTCCCAGAAGGAACCTCCCACACTTCAATTTGATCATGTCAATGATGAAGGGAATAATTCCGCGCCGACGACGACTACGCGTTCACGCACCCCGTCAGAGTCGAAAAGCATCAACTCCGTCTCGTCGCAACAAACTACCCAATCCGTACCGACCAAGCGACTTAATGCATCCCCTGTGCCTGTTGGCAGGAACCGAATACCTCTTCGCAGGAGCAGTCTACACAAGGATCTATTTGACTCCGGACGCTTTCTACCATGATTAAATCCTCACGCCTATGAATTCCTCTCATTATCCTTTTCCTAGCACGTACGAATTCCGTGATTACTCCGGCGACGAGCTTTCCATACTGTTTAATCCTAATCCGATCATTGTCCCGTATATACCCCGCTAAATCAATAGCGACCACGTTCCTTTTCGCCTCCGATCTCTTCGCAACGCCTGCAGCTCCCATCTCTGAATTTCCTTGCCTTTCTATATGATATATATATACCAAGCATATTGTCTCCATTTGTCTCACCGCGGCGATTTAAGAGTGTTTCTCCGTTTCACCGCTCTCTTGGTAGGGACATGGAAATATTTCCTCCGGTTTATACCAGACCAGCCCGTCCATTGCCTCTCTTTCTATCGTATACATAATACAACTCACCCCAGTCGCATATTACTATATCCAATTTCTTTGTGTCCTATACCGAACTATTGCTTATTGCTTGAGGTTCTTTTTTGTTCTTTTTGTTTTTTTCGTTTTTTTTTTCGGTGTAGTCAAATTACGTGCATATATTCTGCATACACATGGCAAGGATCAGTGGCGCACAACATTTATATGGATAACACCAATTCGCGCGAGCTCCTTGGACTTGCTTTCGGAAATACCTCTCCTTTTTTTAACCGGCATACTGGCGAAGACGGCGTTGCCGGTTTCTCACCGGCGTTCGACCTTTTTTGGGTCTGGAGTTTCCGTTATATGACTCTTTTCTGTTTGTCCTGGGATTGCTTCACTTGGATTCAAGAGGCCTCAGTGAGCAAATTCCCTTTCCTTTCCTATTTTATATTCGCCTGGCTCCTTTCTCTCTCTCTCTTTCTCTCTTTTTTTTTTTTTTTTTTTGTTTTGGGTTACTTTTGTCTCCTCGATTCCTTCTATTCCTGTCTTATTACTATATTACCTTTTGAATACATAGACCTACGCAGGGACCAGAGTGTCACAGCAGTTACTTACCTTACTCTCGATAATGGGCCATTTTTTTCATCCCCCTGCTTCTCCTTACACCGCCAGCCGAATCCTTTCTCGTTTACAATATGCATGATTAATCCGGCGTCGGTATATATATAATGTCCGACTGCCTTAACGTAGACATGGGTGTGACCGGAACCTTGCTCATCCTTGTGTGGCTGGATTTTCCTAGTGTGAGCTCTTTGTTTCCAGATCTATAATAAGGCGGCGATCATGAACGATCATACCAGAGTTATAGGCCATTCTATTTAATTATTGTTGGTACATGACTATCTTGATATTTTTTATTTTGTATTTTCCATTGCTATATTATAGCCATGACCAACAAATAAGGAACAAGCTCTGTTATCCTCACGAAACGCATTTTATATCACTGGTTAGTGGGGAACAAAAAATATATTCCCGCAGCAGCCAGCATCCCATCAGATGGGGGGAAAAAATGAAAAGAAAAGAAAAATACATTTGCCCCTCTCTCCTTCACCCAGTTTTATTCAATGAAGGGACTCAACGGGGGTAGGAAAGTATAAAACAAAAAAATGACAAAAAAATAATCAAATGATGTCGTCCAGGCTCGAACTGGAGACCCTGAGTGTGTTAGACTCATGTGATAACCAACTACACCACGACACCATGCTATTATGTAAGGACGCTAGCGATAGCGGGATTTTGATGGGGTTGATTTGGTTGACCTGGTTGGTTTGAAATTTCCGCCTTGAAAAGGGGGGCGTGGTTGATGGGGATGGGAGGATTTGTGAAGAAGGGTTGGATTGAGATTTTCCTATTGATATTGGTGGTAATTATTTGTGAGGATGTTGGTGATGTTTGTAGATTTTTATCCATGTTATGTTTTTAAAATGTGTTATAGGGTCAACTTGTCATGGAATATATATATTTCTGGGTGGTGAAAATAAATCAGGAGCATATTAAGAACAAGTTCCAGTTTACAGTGCTATGCATTCACATGTTGCCTTTTTATTCATCAAGCTATCTCTTAGTGATTTAAAGTCATATGATCAATTGGAGTCCTACATTAAGGCCTATATAAGGCCTGAACTAAATGAAAAATAATCTTAGAGGTCAAAAAAAACCTCTGACCTGCTATAGAATGAGATGCTATAGAGTAAGCCTATAAAACATCAGATTAGAGATTAAAGAATAGAACTCTACAATTAAGAACTATCTATCTCTTCCTCTTCAAGACTTTAAAGACCCTATAAAAGATTCATTAGTATTACTATTAGAAGAAGAAGAAGCATCCTCAGTGTCAGAGTCCTTCTAATTATTATTAGAGGAGGTAATAAAGATCTTATCTCTTAAATTTAAACTTCTAGAAGACATTAAAGATTCAGCATCAGATAGAGATGGACTTAGAGAGTATAGCCTCTTTCTCCTCTTTAAAGACTCTATAACTCAACCTGATATATATAGGAGTAACTTACTTAATGTAGCATTCTCACCATTCTTTCCTTTTTCTTTATTAGTATTCACCTCTATATCTCCTCTATCTTCAGTAGCAGATAGTAATACAAGTAGAGATTTTAATAGAGTTAATAGAGGTTCATTAGTAAAGAAGGTAGTAACCCAAGAGGTACTTGAGGTTATAATAGTAGAGACTTTATGTAATTAGGAAAACTTGAGATGAAAACATTGTGTAGAATAAGGTTGATTCTCTACATTCCTGAGCTGCCCATGGCTATTTATATTATGAGGCCTGACTAAGCTATGTAGGTGACTAAGCATCATGGATGTCCCATAGTGTGGACCATAGTGTGGAGCATATACATGTAACACTTTACATCACTTAATAACTTTATTACTAGAGGAAAGAAGAAGTAAGTTAGTAAATATAAAGTAAAAGACTGGGTGAGAAGACATACTAAATAAAAATCACTGAGCTAGTAGGGTTAGAGTTAGAGACAGTAGAGACACTAACATTATCTAAGTAGGTAAACTACTTAATGATTATAATAAGGGATCTTTTTTCCTTATAGGTAAAAAAACCAATAATATTATTACTAATAGAAACTAAATTCTCAATACACAGCAGGAGAACACAGCTCTAATATAGAGATTCTGGGAAGATGTAATAGATGCTAAAGATTTTAAATTTAGAGCATTTATTATCACTGTAGCTCCTATAGATTTTAATGATAATCTTAAAAACACAATCAGAACAATTAGCAGGCATATCACAATAAATAATATAAATAGTAATAGTAGATAAAAACAGGCTATTAAAGCTGATATTAGTCTCTATATACTCAGAGGAATTAACAGCCTCAGAGCCCAACTAAGGATAAAAAGATAAGATTATTATAATAATATTAGATATAGTAATCACATCAGTCACAAAAATATACTTTACAGCTAGAGTGCTCTTAACCTGAATAAATATATCCTCCATAAAATTCAGCTAACTAAGGTTATAGATCTGAAGCACTACAGGTAGCTTCAGCTCAACCTTAAAATCTAGGATGTCACAGAGGATAGTAGGGGTGGCAAAGCTGTTAATCTTAATATTTCTATTTAATGAAACACAGCTGTTAAGGTTAGTGATGATAAAACTATTAGAGATAAAGATATAGATCTAGGGCTGGGACTGAGACATCATAAGGAAGGCAGGAAGATATAATAAATTTAATAGAGAGCTAAAAAAAAAGGAGTAAAGAGGCTAGATACAGGTATTGAAATTAAAAATAAAGAATTTCAGGATAAATTATATTATTCATAATCTGATAGTAATTCATACTACTTATAAGCATTAAGATCTAATAGTAATTCATAGCACATGAGAGAGTAATATAGAGCTAATCATACAAGAAAACTAAATCTCAGAGATTAATTCCAACATGGCTGAGTAATTAATCCTGTAATTTATTGATTATTATTATAAAAGTAGGTCATACAGAGAACTAGAGTCAAACTATTATAATCATAAAATCCTCTACATTACTTAATAATTTAATTTAATATAGAAGCTGCATCTCACTGTTAAATAGCCTACTATCTAATTGAATCTTCAGATATCAGAATGAATAAATAAGAAGAATTATGTAGGATTTATTGTAAATATCATACTATAAGTCTAGATTACACATACACATAAGAAATATACCTCATTTAATTTATAGAACTAAAGGCTGGATTGACAGAGCATTCTGAGCATACATAAATTTTTATGTAACCTTATGATGCTAATCATCATTCTATTTACTTATATTAATTAATAGGTATTTAACAGACTTATTAGGCAGATAATTTAGAAGGTCCTCATTAAGCTAAGTAATAATATCATTAGTGGGTGTGAGGATCACCTAACCTTAAAAGTAATCCCTCTAATAAAACTAATTCTATAGATCTGAATATACTTAATTAATAAACTTATCAACCTTAGAGGTCCAGTGTAGCTCAGGAGGGATTAGCTGATAATCCTGAAGAGCTACATCATATAATATACTAGCTAATCAATTCATAAAGGATCTACCTTTAGGGATAGTAGTCAAAAGATGCATGTTCTGATGAAGATGGAGTGTATAAAGAGAGAATCAAATCTTAATATATTACATGCAGGTATCTACAGTGTCATCCCACATATTATAAAGAATAATAAGTAAGGTCTGCTGAAAGTCATCATTAAAGATAGTCAGAATGTCATTAAAGTCATTACTATCTCCAGGTAAATTAGCTTAGAGATCATGGAGAATTTAATTAACTACATTAAAGATGTAGTGATGAGTCATTAGAGTTTTATCCCAGATAATAAGGAAGATATAGTAAAGAAGCTTAGTCAGCTGAGTACTACATAATATATTGTAAGTTAATGTAGGTAAAATGTCAATAAGAATATAGAAGTACTTATAGATAGTACAACTATTAGAAAGAAGCTGAGCAATAATGTCTGTACTAGTAATATAGAGTATGATCTGACTTAGAAATTATAGATGATTAATGAGAGTATTATAGATAAATATCTTGCTTATTCTATTAGAATCATTAAGAAAGAACATCATATTATAGAGATTAGTATTCAAAGCTATAAGAATAGTATTATAGGCTAAATATTAATTCACATTAAACTGAGCTTTATATTTCTCAGCTCTGATAGTCAGCACCTAATAGTCATAAGTAAGCTTCTATGTGATCAGGGGGTTACTATCCTTCTTCAGCTCCTACTCATAATGTAGCTCTAGCAGGCTCTAGATTTAAATATCCTCTGACTTAAGACCCTTCTAGGCAAGCCTCTTTCAGATAAGATGAAGCCTATAGTTAATAGCTAACTTGTGAAGGATCTAGTCATTAGATAGATTGTAGGAGCAGGCTTTAAGAATGAAGTTTAGATTATTAATAAATAAAGTTGAAAAATAAACCTAGATGTCAGCAATAAATAGTAAGTTAGTATAGGTAATAATAGATATTAACATCCTTCAAAGCATCTTCTCAGTTTCCATCTTTAAAGCCTCCTTAAAGGTATATTCTTACTCATTATCATACTAAATGATACCTCTTATATAGTAGGCCTTCTAGAAAGTATTCTGTCTGATGCCAGCAACTATCAGTAGGTCATCAAAAGATTTAAGCTCTCTCAGAATAGTAAGTAAACAGTATAAATAATACATATTACTATGAAAAGATATGAGAAGGTACATTCACCTTATAACATTACTAATAGAATACTTCTTTCAGTACTTCCAGCACAGATTCTTCAAGTCCCAGGTAAAATAATATGGCATGTCATGGTATAAATAAATAGATTCAGGATTATCATAATTATACTTAAAGAAAGTAAGTAGGTAAGATATCTAGTCATCAAGACAGTCAAAAGTAATCTTATAGAGCTCCTCAGGGTCATACACAACATAGTGCCTGCCTGGAAGGTAGATGATGAAGCCTATATTCTCAGGGTAGTAATTCTCTATATTGAAGTCTAGAGTCTGCCAGGCCACCTCAGTATAACTAATATAATAACCCAGGTAGTACTCATGAATCTTATTGTCACCCACATTGAAACTAATAGTAGCACAGTCAGAACTCTTTATAATATATTTATAGAGATATTTGATTATAAAAATGTCAACACAGCATTTAACATTAATGTGAGTCTTATACCTCCAAGTTAAGTAAGGATTATGAGGGATAACCCATTTATTATCAACCTCAACAGGGCTGGTCTTATCCAAGTTGTAGGTAAAGTAATAGCTACTCTTATAATAGTAGTACTAGGAATATCATAATTAATAGATAGTTATCTTCTTAGTAAAAGGCTTGAAGAACTACTTGATGTAACAGACCTCACTATTAACATCTCTCTTACAATAGGAAGTATTAGGATTGAAATACAGACTATAGGGCCTGTGCAGCAGCTATTTAATAATAATATTATAAAGTAACTATCTCTCTGGCTTCTCAGGATCTAGTACCTCAGTAGACATAATATTATTTATTCTCTCAATGAAATACAGGTCATCTTCCAGCCAGTATAAAGTATAAGAGTAAGATAGCCCTCTCTTCTGATACTTAATCATCTAAATATAAGTAATATATTTATCTAGAGTATCACTCTTGATCTTATGAAGTAGGGTCTGATTCTTCATATTAAAGACCCTAATAATCAAATTAGACTAATCATTTCA